CTGCCACCTCCCTCCAGCAGCCCTGGTATCCCTCCGCCAGCCCTCTGTCACTGCCACACTTTGTTGCATCGGCCCATGTCTCCCTTCTCCGTTCTGGAAATGGTAGCCCTGTTTTCTGCCACTTTCTTCCTAGCAGAAGGGAGACGCTTCGTATGGAAGGACGCTATGGTAAGCTCTGGGAAAACTACGCCAGCTGGAGCTGGTTAGGAAGACCAGGCTCCCCTTCCCCAATGCAGAACCATCGGGGAAGGAGAGCCTGGCCTTCCTCGCCCAGCTCCAGCTGGCATAATTTTTCCTGGAGCTCAGCGTCCTTCCATACAAAGTGTCCTTTCTTTCCTCCCTTCTGCCAGGAGGAAAGCGGCAGAAAACAGGTCTGCCATTTCCAGAATGGAGAAGGGAGACGCAGGCCGATGCAGGGCAGAAAGAAAGTGCAGTCCAGCGATTGCTGTGTGGAGGAAGGAAGGAAAGAAGACTTAAGGAAGTTACCATATGCCGCCTTTCTCCCTTTCCCAGCTTGGATGGAGGCAGCCCACATGGGCTTCTGCTTTGTGCAAGCGGGTGTGACCCTGGCGCCTAAACTCCTCAGGGCCATTTGAGAAGTTTTGTTCCTGGTTGGTAGTGGGTGAAACCGACCACCCTGCAGCAGTTTTCCACCTCTTCCTCTTCCTCAGGTGGCTTACTCTGCCCCCCCCCCTTTACTTTTAGCATCCAGGGAAGGCCATGCCTTTATGTGTCCTTAAGACACTCTTCAGGCTCTATCCTAACCTCCGGAGACCCATGTTTTCTGGTGTAAAAACTTCAGTTAGCCCCACAGCAAAAGCCGCCCCTCCCCTTTCTCCTTGGTGGTGGCGATGGAGGGCTGGCGGAGGGATACCAGGGCTGGTGAAGGGATACCAGGGCTGGTGAAGGGAAGCAGCAGGGGAGGCTTGTGCCCCCAGTCATGGTGCAAGCCATGGGAGAGTTGTTGGATGAGAAGGAGGAGGCAAGAGATCTGTGGGGTGAAGTGGGGTTGGCGGGGACCGAAGAAAGCCCCTCCAGCAGCAGACGTGGCTGTTGTGCAGCAGCGGCAGAGCCTTTTGCCGTCACTCTCCCCTGGCTCCAAAATGGTGGAGGGGGACAGGATAAGGCCCATCCTACATAGCATGGCAGTTCAGCTCGGGAGGTAAGTGGGTGCAGGGTATATGGGGCAGCTCCACCTCCTAACCCCACCCTAGCTTAATTTTGACACGTGCGCCTCATCCCACTTCTTGCAATGATGGCGGAGTCTTAACTAGGGCTTATTTTTGGATAGGGCTTATATTAGGCAGATGCGTAAAAATCAGGCTAGGTCTTATTTTCGGGATAGGTTTTATTTTTGGGGAAACATGGTACAGTATCCCCTTTAGTAGCTATCAAAAAATCTGTGAAGTGAAGCAACACATTTGTTCTCTTTTACTTTTAGAAGCAATATCATGATGTTGGTTTGAAAATCAGCCCTAGAAGTTGCTCTGGTCAAACTATCGTTGAAAAGAAGCACTGCTCCAAAGGTTGATACAGCCCTAGGGAAAATTACTTCAGTTGTTGTACCCCACTTTCAAGGCACTTTTGAATATGTTTAGATGTCAGGTTTTGAGCTCACTGCAACTTTGAAAGTGGAAGAGAGCACTGATGTTATCTCTCTCCATCATTGTGCAGCAAACTTCCTGATCTAAAACATCTTGTATTGAGTTCCCTGGAATTTTATAATTTTCCCTTGGAATTAAATAAAACACAGAAAGTTCAAGAGGTTGCAGACTCCAGGACAGATATTTGTGTAATGAAACAAAACAGTGTGATAAAAAGACACAAAGATGCAACAATTTCTCACTGAGTGCTGGCCTCGTGGGCATTTTCTTCTCTTGTGGGAACGCGAAAGAAAGAAAAACATTTGCTTATCTATCAAAAGGAAATAGATTGCAAAAGCAGGTCATTTTTCATAGTTGATTATTCAATTATTATTATAGCTATTTATACAACACCACCTGTCAATAGGATGCTTTACAAAAAATAGAGATTTATAATCCAAACATGGCAGCATAATTTGATAGGAAAATAAGTGTTTGTTTTGGCCATAAATTCTTTGGTTTAGTTATTATTTGATGATCTGAACTTTTTTTCTTATTCTAGTGTATTTGGAATAGCAATTCACTTTCATTTCTCTGATGGATGGTATTTCAGATATTTAAAAATGATCAGACTGAATGTAGTAGCAATAAAATAATGAATTAAAAAAGTACGTTTGGGCCAGATGTATAATTGTACAGGTGATCTTCTCTACAATGAAATCCTCTATAAGTCTACTTAGAAATAACTGTCATTGAGATCAGCCAGAGATTGTCCTAGTTAAATAGTTATTAGACCACTGTATTCATCTGACATATATTGTAGCATAAGTGATACTTTCAATGTGATTGTGTTTAATCTTAATCAGCTCTGCAATTTCTTCCTCTCTCCAATGTATAGCCAATTTTTCCATTCATCAAGACAGCAGGTGTTTTAAATGTGCAAAATTAGAAGATAAAACATGTGAGATGGCTATCAATTGTTTCATGTTATAGTTTATTTTTTGTAAAAAAAAAAATTCCAAACATAACATGCCTATAGAATGAAAGTTCTTTTTTTTTTTTAATGCCTATACCAGGCCCCTCTTCATGCTTAAGGTAAACTTTATTGTAGGGCCATGAATTTTGGACTGAAGAAATCTAGATAACCACAAATTGGCCACAAAGAGTTAATTTTTTTCTGTATCTCTTGGCATCTGTCTATATTTGACTTTATTTTGGCAGTTCAGTTAATGATTTTTATAAAAATCCTAATTGACACACACCTGTAAATCAGACTCCTGGGGGAAAAAAGGAGTTTAAACAATTAAATCACTAAACAACAGAAACTATTTTCAGCTGTGGTATAAATTGGATTCTTTTGTTCTCCCTCTAATTGTTAATGTTTAATTGTTAACAATTAACATTGATAGGGAAGACATCAAAGTGATAGTTTCTGCATTTTGGAATCATCCAAAATAATAAAGGAACAATCGGATAAAAAATATTCCACAGACTAATACTTGGTAGAACAACTATGAAGATCTTGTGTCTATTTGCCAGTAAGCAGATTGGTACCTGCAACACAGGTGTGTTTTGGAAAAGCCAACTTACTGCTAAGTTTATACCAGCAGAAATTTGCAAACTAGTCATAAAGGTCGGTCAGTGCACTGAAGGGCCTGCAAGTTAATGCACTACAGGTTTAAGATTCTTTGCTTTCACTGCCACATTGGCTAAAGATGATAGCAGGAACTCCTAGAGAAAGTTACTGAGTTAGAAGTATTACTAAGTTGTTTTCTTTTGAGAACAGGAAGATGTAACTCCAAAGCAAAGCAAAAAAGATCTTGTAGCAATGGTGTTTAATTGCATGGCACCTGTCAAAACATTTTTTTCTGTTTGATGAAATTTGGCTGAAGATTATTTCCAGCTTTTTTCACAAAATCACGAAATGCCAACTTTGCAAGCAAACACACGTTCTTCTAATGATGCCATTTGAGTAAGAAGAAATCTCAACAGGCTGGCACAAAGTTTATATTCATTGATTCATTCATTGATTCATTCATTCATTGATTCATTCATTCATTCATTCATTCATTCAACCAACTCAGTTACAAGACTCTCCATTAATTGACCGCAATCAGCAGCCAAAAGGGATCAGGGCCACGTCCTCCCTGTCCAGCTTCTGAATTCTCTTTTCTTCTTCAGGACAAAATTTTATTTACATTGTTATAGCCCCTTACTGTTAGAGGAGAATGGGAACTGAAATTCAACTTGGCCCATAGGAAAAGCCTTGCTCAGCTTCATCCACCATATAGTGAACTTACCTGGAAGGCCTTTCCAGCTAAAGTTCTTTACTAACCATCTCAAGACAAGAGGTCATACTGCCAGCACGCACAAGGTACCCAAACATTCTTGAATTAATCCATTTTTAGGCGTCTGCACAATACACCGAGCCATAAGTTAATGCAAACAGCTGGATTTTCACAAAATGCTATCCCCCTATACATTTGATGACAGCACCAATCAAGTTTAGCATATGTGAATGCGGCATTGAGCCATTCGCTGACCTGGTTTGGTGTTGCAAGTGAATGCAACCATGATGTTTCATATCACTGTACTCCAACCATGGCCAAGTTACCGGAGAGTAGCTGTGGAGTGAGATGAGGAGGGAGGGGATGCCACAGTCCCATGCCCCAAAGGATACACAGAACAGCAAAGTACCACCCTTTCTTGCACCTTTAGGCCAAGAGGGAAAGAGACAATAAACTTGCCTTCTCTGCCTATGACTGTTTCAGTAACGGACTACACAACGGGGAAGCCTTCCTCCCCGTTTCAGCAAGCCAGATCACAATATTGAGATATACGATGTCTCGCGTGGGAGACTGATGAATCCGAGATTAATCCCAGTAATGTCAACGCTGCAGCCAGATGTTCAGCAGCCTGTCACAATCCACCTTCCCTCCTCCTCCCCCCCCCCCGCAGCTTTGTTGCCTCCCTCCTTCCCTCCACCTCCTTCCCTAAAGCCTCGGGCAACTCCCACCGAGGAGGCAACAACCCTGGGACAAAAAAATCGAGAAAGGTTGTCGGAACGCACCCAAGATGTTCCCGCGTGCTGGCGGGCTTGCTTTTGCCTCCCCCTTTTTTTCCCCTTTCGGTTGGGCCTCGCTTGCTCCGGGGGGATCTTCAGCATCCACCAGCCAAAGCAGAGAAGCAGGAGAGCGGGGGTGGAGACCGAGGGGACTCCCCTCCACGCAGCTCAGCCACACAATGAAGGGAATCTCGAAGGAAGGAAGGAGGAAGGAAGAGAGAGAGAGAAGGAAGGAAGGAAGGAAGGGGGAGAAGGAGAGAGCGAGAGAGAGCGAGAGAGAGAGCGAGAGAGAAAAGGCGGCCTTTGGGAAGTGGAAGGTCAGGGGAGCTTGGCGGGTCAGGTTTGGAGCCTACCGGAAGAAATGAGGCCGAGGGGCGATCTCCCGACGATCGGCTCCCCGCAACTTGCCCGGCGTTGCCGATCAATAGCGTAAATGTTGTCAGTCAGAGGAAGCCACTTCTTCCTTTTCCCCCCACGCCTCTCGAAGCGTGACCTGCCTTGCCTCGTCAGTCCAGAAAGAGAGAGACAGAGAGAGAGATTTGTTCTCCTTGGCCGCGCAGGTGAGAGGCGCTTTGTGATCCAAAAGATCCCCGCGGGAGCGCCTGCTTGCAGCTGCTGGCCCGTCACAATGACAGATGTCCTCGCTTGCCGCCACTAGCCCGCGTTTAGAGAGAGAGAGAGGTGGGCTCGGGGGGCTGCTCCTTCCAGAACACGGGGAGCTGCTCTCGGCCACGCGATTCCCGGCAGCGTTTCCCCCGCTCTTTCCCTCTCCCGAAGCACCTTCGCGCCGAACCCGGGGTGTGCGGAGCTCTTGGAGCACCGAGGGGTGGGTGGGGCTCCTGCAGACGATTCCAGCGCAAACCAGGAAGAGCAGAGCGAAATGCGCGAATATAAACACGGGCGGGGAGGGGGGGGCAGGACTTTCTCTTTATGGGGTAGGGGAGTAAGGGTCGGGAGAAATCCCAGCGCCGGGATGTGAAGTCGGCAGCTATCCTTTAAAAAAAAAAAAAGGGAGGGGAGGGGGGCATCGTGCGTGTTAAGACTTTGGGGCAAATGTGGGGCCCAGTCAGTCGAGTGACGAGGGATCCTCAACAGAGCGAGGCAGGCTTCCTGGATTAAGTGAATCCATGCTCGTGACGACGTGAAAAAGGACTCCCTCCTCTTGTAAAGTACAGAGTTCAAGTTTGCGTCACTGGCTCCTTGTAAAAGGCGGGAGGCCAGAAAGACCAAATATACATTTCTTTTATACTAAAGCGCCGGTCCTGCGATGTCTCCTCCAGTAAGCTCGGCACAGTTTGACATGAAGGGTTGGACCAGGGGTAGTCAACCTTGGCTCTTTTATGACCCGTGGACTTCAACTTCCAGAATTCCTGAGCCAGCTGCGCTGGCTCAGGAATTCTGGGAGTTGAAGTCCACGAGTCATAAAAGAGCCAAGGTTGACTACCCCTGGGTTGGACCATCTGTGCCTCAGAAGACGGTCGTTTTGGCTATCTTGGCCAGTAAAAAATGTGTCTCAACTTTATGGGCTCTCATTCACCTGCTATGATAGTTACAGGAGATTGGAGCAGATACTATGCTTCTTGCTGATGTATGTATGATATGTAAGATGCAGTTTGATCCTTGAGACACTTCCACACAGTTACCATCCCCAGTGCAAAGACATGCCTCCAACCGCTTGGAAATGTCATGGCTGCATGTCCCCACCTGCACTCTGAAATCAATCCATGGCTGAGACACCCTGGCACTAATTCAATGATGAACTGTCTATCTTCACCCAGAGCAAATTCCAACATGAGTTCATCATATGGCGTGCTGATGTGCATTGAGCCATATCCAAGGATTACATACTCTACATAGCAATGCTGAGGACCACCAATTGGTTCTGAAGCTGAACTTCAGGACACATCCCTTTTCATGGCCACTGCCCAAACTGCTCATTTTGGAGTTGCCTGTGTCAGGATTGGATTGAGTAATCATTTTCTCAACACTTTATCTCTCCTCTCCTCTCCTCTCCTCTCCTCTCCTCTCCTCTCCTCTCCTCTCCTCTCCTCTCCTTCCTTCCTTCCTCCCTCCCTCCCTCCCTCCCTCCCTTTTTATAGTTAACTGTAGTCACACCACAGAAAACATATTCTTTATTTCATCACTACTGGCTACCGATATTGCACTGCTATTCTGTAATTTTCACATCCATTGTGTGCAAGTTACTTATGTCAATCTCCTGTTGTTCCGTCAACTGGATGACTGCACAGTCCCAAGGCCTACTGCACCTGGCTGCTAGTTGACAAGCTGAGTGGCCAGAGGCAGCTCTCTAGGAATATCTCTGCTGCTCATGCTTTGTTCCATCATTTTCATCTGCAGTCGGGCCACTATATGGGGCACCCTACAAGGAGGAGGAATAGTTAGGGAAATCTAACCATTGCTATGGCTAATAACAGGAGAATATGAAGAGAGCTGGATTATGGAAATGTTACCAAACAGCCATTTCATTGAGAAATTTTCGAGAACAGGAACACTGCGGTCATTGTTTGCTTTCCCTGATATGCAGTTATCCCTTCAATTTCTCATGCCAGCAATTGAAAATTTTTTCTCTGCTGCCTCATCTTCCAATCCATTTGCCTGTCATTTGCCATTGCACTTCTGCTTTCTGTTACACTGTCTTCCTGTACTTGTTCCAGAATCAGGCTTCATTACAAGAGCTGTGGTTCCACGGAACCACATAGAACAGGGTTGTCAAACTCGCAACATCACGTGTTGTGACGTATCACGACTTTTTTGCCATTGCCGGCAACGGGGTGGGCATGGTTTTGCTATGATGCATCCGGCCCGCAGGCTGGCAGTTTGACACTCCTGACATAGAGGAAGGAAAAACCTTTACTCTTTCTGAACACTGGGGCAAAGCCAAAGTTCAAGAAGAACTCCAATTTAGATACCTCAGTCATTTTGAATGCATAGTAGCAGAGCTACAAGCCAGGAGATCACCAAGCTTCGCAATGCAACAAAAATGAAGGCACTGTAATTGGAGTACAAGAAAAGGGAGGGTCACAATGCAAGTTCCAGGCAAGATCATGCAAAATGCCTGTTTTATCATAAGCTGTATCACATCTGTCCTGGCAATGCTAGCCTGTCTCTAAAGGGGGTGGTTTGCAGCCTCCAACAGCTCCCAGTTTTCCACCACTCATTCTACCACTCAGTGGCAAGAAACTTGCAACATTTGTACTGCTGTACAAAGATTTGGAAACCATAATAATTGAAGACCTTCTCCTTGGGCCATTCAAAGGTGTTCAGCATTGGTCAAGGTGGAGATGCGGAAAGAAACTACATGGAAGTTTGGATAGATAACTTCAGTAGATGGCTCATCTAGTGATAAAACTTGCACAATCTGTTCTATTCCCCAAGCTCCAGCACCCATATCAATGCTTCCATGAAAGCAATATTTAGCTATTGATGGGCCAATTCAGAATCTACCACTGTCAGCTCCTCAAGATAGATCAGACTAAGTATCCAAGTCATGTACTGTAGGGCAGTATAACTTTTATTGCAAAACTATAGTACTATTATATGCAGCCCAGAGTCCCTTCTCAAGAGATGGGCAGTTATATAATTTGGTAAATAAATACATAGTAACAGAATCTTGCAGGTATGCTCCCTCTCTCTTTCTTGTTATCTTCATGAGAACCGGAGGTGGGGCAAAGAGTGTTTCCAGCATCATTAAGCCACTGAGCCACCACACCTCTTTGTAATGAGCACTGAATGAACCATTCGTTTGTTTGTTGTTTGTTGTCCATCACTTTGTATGACACTTCTGTCACAAAAGTAAATCTAAACAGCTGACACATTAGGATTGGCTTAGTTTTGTATTTATTGTGGTCATTGACTCGGACAATACATAAATACCATATAACATTTAAAAGATTGTAGAATATTGTTCCTATGTGGAATCGATATAGGTAGCGTATAACATTTAAAATTAGTTTAAAATCTATACAAAAGAAAGCTAAACAAAAAGAGCTAAGAGAATTAAAGTGTGCCAACTTAAGAAGTGTAAAGACACACCCTTTTTAGCTATTCAGACCTACTTCTGCCTATCTATTGTCCTTTTGCCTTTGGATAGCTTCTGAGCATAATTTTGTCACCTGAGCTGTAACATCAAGAGAGCATTTTCAGGAGAAAATGGAGATAGAATTTTGTGGGTTTCCAGGAAGGGAAGTGTCTAAATGAGTGAAGTAATCCTCTGGCCTCTAGCTTGCTCATAAAGAAGGCATCTTAGAAGAATGTGGGCCATAGATTCTGTTTCTATTTCTCCCTAAAGACAGACTCTTTCAAAATAATGGCTCTTGTGGCATTTGCCATCTGTTAGTGCAGAAGGAAATGAATTACTGTAGGCCCTAAACATCTGTGTTTATGAAAGCTAAAATATATAGGATCAAAAACAATAAAAGAATAACAAGGGGAATAAATAAGCATCCAAAACAGGGCCTGCAGGCAGAGCAATGTTTTTTAAAAGCTTTATGAAAACTATATACTGTACACTTCAGAGACAGAATCTGTTTCATAGGATAGCCACAATTATAGAGGAAGTCCATTTTCCTGACCACAAAGGATGACATTATTTTAAGCTGGGATCTGGACTGCAACTATGGCAAGTGGCAAGGGAAGTGGACAAAGTTTGCTTCTGCCTTTCCCCGGTCTTCCATTTATCCTCTCTCTTGTGGTTCTGTCAACTGGCTTTCCCAGAGCATTGTAATACTTGCTTGGTTGCCTGATCATCTGGCTCCCACAGCAAGTTATCCCTGCAGTGCTGCTGCGTCAAGTTGTCCTGTGATGAGATGGCAACGGCAACTTGGTGCTGGATAGCTGGCGGTGGCTAGTTGGCAGCAGCAAATTGTCCCATTCCATTGCCATGTAGCCTGACGTTTCTCACTTGCTTTTCCAAGCAAGAGATCTGGTAGTCATACCCACAACTTCCCACCTAGCACTGCAGTGATACCACCCACTTTTGCAATGGTTGGCTCACAGACCTGCTATGAGAGTTTGTGGCTGAGCCTGTAGAATGATGTACAGTTAATTCTGTAGCTGCTGAACAAGCCAGACAGCAGGGTGGACAAAAGGAAGGATATACTGTGTGCGACCACAGAAGTTCTGCAAGAAATATTCCTCAGGGATATGTCTGGATCTGAGCAAGCATCATAACTTTCAGACAATGTAAGACTGCTCAAAGGTCTAACAATATTAGTTATACTCTCACAGATATTTACGGTATCTGGACTCACCATTAGAGGACAGGTTGCCATCAATTCCTCACAATTCACTATCATTTAATCTCTACCACCAGCAGCTGGAAGGATTCATAAGCATGTCTTAGCTGCTCTCCAGGAAGACCCAAGATCGTGAGGGTGTAGACTCCAGTATGAAATCTTGCAAACAGTGGCATTTTCCCCTTTTGACCCCTATACATCCATTTCAGGG